TTAGCTTATGCTTTCATCTCTTTTAAAGAAAGGTTGGTTTACAAATAAAAAAAAATACTTAACTACTTTCATTGCTTCCCAAAGAGCAACCCAATTTGTTCTGAAAAGATACATTCTATACAGTATTGTTAAATAGCAGTATTAAATAATACTGTTACTTAATAATTATAGGATTATTTAAGTGCCCTTATTTTCATTGAGATTTACTATCTCTACTTATCCAAATCATTTTATAGGACTGATATGCATAAATAGAACCCCTAATTTAAGATCCTTTATCTTTTCTGATAAATCTATAGATGTGGAAAGTATATCAGTTCTTGAATAGTATTGAGTGTGGGGGGGAAATAAATGAAGATTTGTGTATTAGCTTTATATAGTTCCGTACTCAGTTTTAAAAGAGAATTATCTACATTTTGAGGAAATAAAGGGAAAGTTTACCAACTATTTTTTAATTTCTCACAATTGAACTAGTGTCCTCCTAAATTCATAATTACTATTATTATTGCGTATTTTATTTTTTATTCTAATCCAAGCTGCAGTATTTTCCCAGTCTCATTTATTTTAACATTTCTCCTTTTTTGGTTATATAATGCCTTCAGGACAATTGCAGTGTTTTCCTCTTTTTTAAACAAAACCTACAAAAGCTGTTTTTCCTTTTTGAACCACTGTTTTTTATTTTTCAGAACTGAAGGGTTGTATCTGGTTTTATGCAAGTAGACTTCCAACCTTCTAATATCTCCTAATTTAGTCAATCACAGCAGGTGGCAGCACTCAACCAAACTTAGCTGACCTCAGAAAAGTTAAGAATGGCCAGACCTGGCTTGTCTTTGGGTGGGAGATTATCAGGAAATTCCAGGAGAAGAAGTCATATGAAGAACTTGTTAAAATACCAAGAAATTGTTAAAATAAGAAAGCGCCAAATAATTTCCGTACTGTGCCTCCCCCCGCCCCGCATGCATATGTCCATGTAATAACCAGGAGATGAGCGTCATTCAAGGGTGTCTTTGCATTCAGGAAAAAAAAATCTTGGATAGCTACTTTGTTTATTATTCAGTGTGAAACTTGAAGTCTCACATTCTACATTAATTAACTTTACAAATATTTAAAATTCTGATATTCAAATTATCATGTATTTATGTTGCACTAAAGAATTATCTACACTGTAGATAATTGTGTAGCTCCTCTCCCATATTACCTTCATGTTCCTGCAGGCTGAAGCTGCTACATTTTCTTGAATATGATTATTTTGCTAAGATTCAAGGAACAACTTTAAACGTTATTTATGTGAATGGCCATGGAGATTTTTAGATTCAGAATAGCAGATCTCTGAGCAGTATCACAAACTGCTTTTGACAACCTGTCTTAAGAGGCTTACTCTCTTGGAATCTGCTGTTTGTGAAACATAATCCATAGATTCAAGATGTATGACACTTTGGATGCTGCTGCAAGTGGAAATTCACCTAAATTGAGGAATAACAAGATTCCTACCTACTTTTATTTAATACAAACTGTTATGCAGTTTAACCTCTAGCTAGTATCTCATTTGAAGTGACATCTGTACATAATGGTGTTTATGTGTGTTCAGTAAAACATTGGGCCACAGTGTCAATTTTTAGGGTTGGATTTATTTAGTTTGTTTTTTGTAGAACAACCTACACCCCTACTCATCCCCAACTTAGAATTTTGGGCCAATGTTTTACTGAACATGCTTAAGAAAATCAAGTTAGCACTCAGCAGTAAATCCTAGGTTTTCAGACACTTAACCCTTTATTCAGTTTTTTCCTACACTAGGCAGAACATGCCCAGATGTGACTTGACTAGAGTTGATTTTTTATTACAGACAAGAATGAAGCCTTAAACTGTTGATTGCCCACTGCACTGCAAGGTAGTCAGAGATTGTATATATCTGTACTCCATAGCCATAGTTTACATTCTAGGCTTCTTCCTCCCACCTTTATGAATAACTGGTGGGCCTCTTGATGCTAATTTCCCCCTACCAATTTCATCCCTTACACTTTCATGCTTTACACCAGTCTCTCTTTAGTGGGCTATCTAGTGCTGATATTAGCTAAAATCCTCAGGAATTTTTCTGTACCTTATTGATTTGTACTCAAAGGAATGGTGCTGCAAGAATAATAGTATCATGACCTAGTTGCAGATTTTAATGCAGAAGGAAATTTTGAAACATGCAGAAATTGGATTTTTTCTTGTCAAAGATTTTCCATATTTGTATTGGTCATATATTACTACTTGTATTCCAAAACAATTACATTTAAATAAGAGAAAACCCTGGGTATGATGACAAAAAATTGATTATTTAACATTTCAATGTCATCTTTGGATACTTTTCATGTAAAAATTGTGTTTGTGTTCATATTTGTGCTGTGTTTAGATTAACAATTTGTGCTTTACAATTTATTTATATAAATAAAATGTAAATATTGCATGACTCATTACTTTACGTTGATAACACTTGTGCTGTATTTTAATATGCATGCATTAAAGTTCTCGGAGGCTCTGAAATATATTGTTAAAATAGAAGTATACAGGCACTAATACAGTGTAATGCATCAAGGTTATACACCTTAATTTATAATAATTTGCTTGAATTTCCAAGGCTTGTTATATTAATGGTGCTACTTATCATTAGGAATGCATAGGTGAGCAGAATATATAGGTGTGTTCTTGGGGTTGTCTTTTGGCTAACCTGTGCCAAAAGATATGATGTGCCTGTCTCCTGATATACCCTTGATAATACTTGCTTTATTTTCACCACAAATCTGTAAGGCCAGGTAATTTCAACCGCCACACTCTTGCCTTGCCAGTTCAGGAAAAATGCTGCTGCAACATAAATTTCCCAATAAAATCACTTATCTTACAACTTATCAAATGACTAAGTACAAAAACTGACTGGGTAGTGACAGCCAGCTACCTCATGTTTTTCATCCCAAACATCTGAGTTTAGTCACCTGACTTTACTGTTCTAGACCGTAAACACTGACAAGAATCCTAAATGGCATATGCCTAATGCTGCCTACATTTGCTTCATTTAAGGTCAGTGCAAATGTTTGCTGCACTGGACAAACCAAGAGTATAGAAAAATAGTAATTTACGTATTACACTACATGGTTATAAATCTTAAGGTAAACCCTCCTAGATTTTAGAAGCCCCCTAAATTATTATAGCTGTAGTTCAGCGTTGGATAATTGTTCAATAAGTCTTGGAAAACTACCATGGAACCTCTACATGCTTATATAACGCAATGTTACAGCTAAAAATGTTAATAACTAATAACATCCTCTAGGGATTAAGAGTTGATTTCATTGGTTAATACAGTAACATTTGTTACTGTTAATATTCTCTGAAGATTGGGGACTTCAGTTGGCTAATATTAGACTATTGGGGCAGAATTTGGCAATGCCTGGTATGTATTACATTCTACAATCTGCAATCCAGATAACAGAAAATGGAATCTCTAAAAACCAATAATTTAAATAGACTATTAAGGGACAGGTCAAGCTGGGCAATCATTTGTCCATGCAGTTACCACCAATGAACCCTGACTCAATGGCACATAATTAATTAAAGGATTTTTTAAAAAATGTGGATGGTATTAGATCCACTTTTTAAATAATGATACAATTTGACTGTAGGGTGGAATTGTCCAGTTAAGAGAATTTAATTGTTAATCAAATGGTACTTAAAATCTTAAATATTGTGATGTTTTATGACAAATATAGGAAAATGTGTGTATACTAAATTGTATTTCTTTTAAAACATTCAGCCATAATAGTGTTATTAGTGTAGGAGTTATTTTCTTGTTATATATGTGTTTGTCTGTATATTCAGAGCTCTCCATTTTCACCTCTTCTGATTGGTTTATCCTTGCATGTTCACTGTCCAGCATGAAGCGTGCCAGTTCAATGAATATTCTTAACGTGGGTGGCAAAGCAACTGAAGATCATTTTCAAGTAAGAAGCCCTATAATCTTCTTATGCAAGTAGTTGGTACTGGCAAGGCTTAAAATAGCTGTAGGTAAAATGGTGAATTTGGGTATAACTGAACCCAAACTCAGACATGGAACAAAGCTTGATAGTGTTTTGTTCCTAATTGTATGCCATAACACTGAAATGATCTATTTCAGAGCTTCTAGTATGTAGGCCCTACAATTTTATTTAAAGTGGCCACCAACATTTGCAGTTTGGCCGTTACATATACTAGTGACTGCTGCTAATTCATTGTTCTTCCTGTTCTCTGAATATGCTGGGGCTGAAATTCCAGTGTAGTCAATGGAATCAGTCAGTTTTTCATACAGATAGCAGATGGGGTGGCAAAACCATACAGTTCAGACTACAATCAGGTATTGTATGATTGAACATGTCTCCTTGAATTGCGGATTTGTATTTTTGAATCTGTCCATGTGTTTCCTTTTTTGTGCTGACGAAAGTAAGTCATAAACGTATGAATGAAGTTATCTGGAAACCTTATGATGAGGACAATTAGCTATATGTGAACCAAACACTACTTATACTGTCTTTATTAGCTTAATGTTCTCTGCATGTTCCCATAATAGGGAAGCAGAGGCTGATAGAATTGTGAAAAGTGCCTATATGCTATTTATAAATAGTTTCAGGTAGCACACATTGTATTATCTTTACTGTCTTGTGTATGCATCATAACAGTGTTATTCTGTAATGGCTTGTAGTATATTAAAGGCATTAGGAAAGACCCATAAACTCTTGAATGCTCAAGTCCTGCTTGCCAGGAAGACCACCGTTACTCCTTTTATACTGTATTGCAGTTTTTCAAAATCATCAAAATGCCTTTCCAGGACCATCCTTGTCTTCAGCTTTGATTATCAAGGAAAGGTAGACATACTTGTTCTTGGCTGCTTTATTTCAACATCGTTCTGAAGTTTGCAAGGTTGTCTTCACTGGCCAGGCATTTTAAGTGGCTATTGGAGTTTAGTGTATCTATATTCTGTCACACTGTTAAGGTTAAAATATATCAGAACAGCATCCAGTATACTGATGCACTTAAATATCAATCAGCAACAGTTTCTCGGTTATGTAAATTGGAGAGTTAGGCTAGAAGGAAATTAATGGATGGTGTGGCCTTTCTTATTCGCTGGCTCTTGCTAAAAGTCAGAGGCTACTCCCGTAGCTTGGATTACCCTCCAGAGCAACATTTAATCTGTCACAAGGGACTATAGATAAAAATAAATGCAAACTATGCCCTTGAGTGATTACAGGAAGATTTGCACTGGCAAAAGTCTTTTCACCATCCAGGCAATGCTTTTATAAAGATTGTTTTTAAGAGTTCAGTTACTACATAGTACTTGCTAATGAAAAACATTGGGTAGGGTTAGAGTCCTCCATGAGAAAAAAATGAGGTCTCAAAATATTAACTCGAGTCACGTTTTAATAATATCTGCATGAAAACTCTTCTTCACATGTCTTAATATTTGCCGTGCTTGATTTAGTAGTTTTATTTAAATGACCAGTGTTATATTGTGGCTGTTAACTAACATATAATTGCAACTAACTCATGTGGCAATGTAACAAATGTTTCAATACTAATGTGTTACATCAGGAGAGTAAAAACTGATGCACAGGTATTTCCAGTTGTCTGAAATATTATTGCATTTGTATAAAGCCCAAAATAAAATACACAAAGCGATTAAGAGCTTTACCATTTTAAAAACTGAACTATTTATAAATGCAGCCAACATCTCATGGAACAGAGTAATCTAGGGTTAATAAAAATAGAATAGTAGGAGGGATAAACTCTTTAGGTTGTGAGACATTTGTCTTAACAGTAAGGTTGAAGGACTAAATACTTAATTAGTATTGTGGCCACAAAATAGCATGATAGGGACTCCTCCTTTTGCCCTGAATCAGCGGAGAAGCCTGATTGTGGCAGGCATGAGTATCTTCCTACAGATGTATTTGGAAAAATGTAAAATGGTTCTGTTTTTGGAATATAAATATATGATGTGTGCTGTGCGTCTTAGATTACAAATAACCATAGCTCTTAGCATTTTCAGGATGCAACATTGTGCTTTTTCTTGTATTGCTGAAGTTGCTACATTTTCATAAGTTCAGTCTCCTGTGGCAGAACACATGATCAGTCAATGCTATGATACAAGCCATAGAATTTAGGATTTTTTAAATCTCCTTCCAAAATATCTCAGTTCCTGAAAAACCAGTTTTAAAGATCTTTCATGCTCATGTGCTACTTTAGAAACATTTTTTTTTTTAATTGCTCGCCTCCTAGGACAAGCATGATAGGAAATTTGGTAGTATGGTTTGTTACTTTGTCTAATAAAGAATATTTTGATTTGTCCAAACACATGTTCTTAAGATAACCATAGTTTATGAACAGAAACAAATGCTTCCAGTCTTATGCTTGTGGTAGAAGAAGAGGTACTTTAACTAGGAGCCTTTTGGGTTTCTCTTTGAAGATCTGGATCAGGCACTGATAAAACTGCTAAGAAATGTTCCTGTTGCAAGTTGGAATATAGCCTGTTTAGTTCATAAAAGTGTGCTGAACAATCTTGAAATTCAATTAAATTCTAGGTAAACAGTACCAGTCTGTTTTTCGTTTTGGATTACCATGCATTTTTTGTTTATTCAGAGCTTGTATTTTTAAATGACTGACTGCGCTATTTGGAACTGTATATAAACTCTTTCTGTTCTCTTTCCTATGCAGGGACGAACTAATTGTCTGACAGATTCAAGAGCTATGAGTGCCAGTCACACTGATTTGGCCCACTGAGGTTCTGGAACAGATGCTAGCTAAAAATGTCTGTATGAATCATGAAGCACCGAGATTCGCAGGTTTTGAGGCCCCATTATGATCATTCTAGCACTTTCTAGGTTAAAGACATAACAGAATGGACTATTTTTAGGGTCTCTTAAAATAAGTGGCATTTTAAAGAATCCTAGAGTCAGCAACTAGCTTCTTTGTGAAGCGGGCTGAGTTTGTTGCGTTGTTACTAGCAATACGGAGTTGTGTTACAGATAGCTGTATAGCAGTATCCATAAGCAGAGGAAAATATCCCACAAAGTAGAAAAGGAACTGAAATATAAAGGAATGCAAAAGTGTGCTCTTTTAAAACTGTTACAGGAACATCCATTATTAACTATGTATGCATTTGGTAGAATGAGATTTGCATTAAGTTCATCATTGTATGGAACGAGGACAGTGTACACATTGTATAGTTACCAAAATTGGCATGTAGCTTATCTCATTAGTATTGGGCTTCAGGTTTTAAATCAGGAAGGCAAGATGCTGATTAATTGGGATGGAATAGCTTTGACCTCTGGAAAATGGCACTTAGTAGCCAATTACTTGTGGCTTTCTTCAGTCAAAATTAATGGAAGCAGTGCAATCTACCTTAAGCTGGGAGAGGAAAGCAGAATTGGCTAAAAGCCAGTCAGATTTTTCAGTCTGTCCACTTCACTCTCACCGAACACTCCTTTTTTTCTTAGTCCAGAATTATGATTACTTCCTGCCTATTGAATTTTACTTCTGTTTCAGTTTGAAGTGAGAAAGGGAAAAAATAACTACTGTGAAGTAGTTGCTTGCAAGAGGGCCCCGTGAGAAATTTGTCAGGGCAAAAAAAGCCTATCAGTGGCAACTTGTTTCAATCTTCCATTGGTTTATTACTCTTTTGGGTGATAAACTTTTTTTTCCTCAGGGGACTAGATAAGGAAGGGTAAGTGTTTTCAGCATTTGGTTTTGCAGTCAGTAATTTAATGAAACATGTTTATCTGTTTCCATTTTGCAATACTATTATTTGCAACCAGGAAGTAGAAGTGTGTGCAAGTCGTGACTATACACCAAGAAAATTAAATCTCTGGCCAGTAGGAATAACCAAGCATTACAATCAATGTTATTAATGTAGACTCCAGAGGTTAAAAGCATTAAAAGGAAGATATTCTAGTTTTATGAAAAGTATATGTAACAAGATTTGTGATCAAGGTACATCAGCTCACTCTTTCAATGACAACTTACCTAGCAGTGTTCTGGGACCTGGTCAGTGCTGCTAACTATGTAGATATTTTGTGAGAATATTCCATACCATTTGTAAATCTGAGAGAATTATACTTGCAAGTTCATAATAGAGTTGGTTACATTGTTCTTAACCATCTTAGTTAAACTCTAAAATTCTGAACAGGCTTTGGAAGGCAAGTAGAAAGAAACCAAAAAGCTGAACTAAGGTACAGTGACACTCCATTCTTAAGTTGCTGTATTTGGCATTCCTGTCTGCGAAGGCTACAGATGCTTCCTTGTACTGTACTTTCCTGTGTTTCTTTAGGTTTTACTATACCATGGGAGAAAGAAGCCCTGTAGAGATAGGTATAGGTACACTGAAGATAATACCTAGATAATATTACATTGGCATATATTCTAATACAGTTTCAGGCTGTTACTCAAAATGGCATATACATATGCATTATTCAATACATTTTTGAAACTAAGATCTAAAGCTCTTTGAAGTGAAATGGTTAGGTTATTAAAATGATACTAGTCTCCCTTATTTTTTAAACACCTTCCCCATTTTTGAGGAGAAAATAAAGCTGGCTTCTGTTTGGTTAACATGGTTGTGAATTGCATCGTCCCTTGTGTTAAATACCATGTTTTCAAATGAATATTCACATTTTAGCTTTAAATTGTTATAAAATTATCTCTCTTGCTATGCATCAGGCAAATTAAGAGTAAGTTGAAAATATGTGCTGCCAAAAAGTTGAGGCGGGCAGCCCTTTAATGCCATCTTGTTTTGATCTTACAGCAAAAGTATAGTTGTATACTTAGATGCATGAACCACAACAGCCCTCTCTCAATTTGGTGGGACTAAAATCTTGACCTGTCCAGCAGGATTGCTTTTACCTTATGTCCTCCAGATGAAATGAAACTGGAATTTCAGAATCCCTGAAGGTCATGTAGACTCAAAATTCTGAAAATTGCAGGGGAAATCTACTTTTGAAAAACAATCTAGATGTATTATATATTATGAATAAGCCAATGACCTAAAATACTAACATTTTCACATGAGAAAAAGCATCTTTGTGAATAATCTATAGGACTGTGCTAACTTGGTTCTTAGTCACAGGACTGTCCTGCCTTGCTTATGCATCTATCAGTGAATAGGAAATGAATTTATCTGATATCTTTCTTCGAAGCAATTTACTCAGTACATATAATTAGGTAAGTGGATATACACAAAACCTTTGGCTGGCCATGTTGTGGGATGGGCAGCCATGGTAAGTTATCACTCTACTGATATACCATTGAGTGTATCTTGGATATATATATTCTATCTTCAGCAATGATATAGAAACAATAACCATACATTTCCAGCTCATGATACAAGTAGTTCAGCCTTTCACTAATTTAAGTGACTATTGTTGAAAAATAAGTAACATATCTATCAGACATACCATTCATTTCATTAGAATCCTGTGTTGGGTGCAGAAATAATTTTTATTTGTGCAACTATTGTACCTGTTTGAAGAACTGATTCTTCATCAGCAAAACCTTCCATTATAAAGTTTTTTTTCCCATCCAAAAGTAGCTTAAGCAACAATTTGTGTTGTTTTGTATAATCTCTAAAGCATGATTACTTCCCTACCAAGTAGGCTTCTTCATAATAAATCATTTAATCCTATCTTAGAAATGTATTTGTGGAAACAATGGGGCCATCCAACTAGGTCCACATCTGTCACTGAAGTCCCCTTTAGACCTTCTCACTGCAATCTGAAAGAATAAGTTTTGAGGGTCCAAGTGAAACGAAGGGAAAGCAGTATGAGCAGCAATCATGGATTATGCCTGTTAGGAAGATTGCCATTTCTCACAACTCTGTGAGGGGTTCTGAATAAAACAGCAATGAATTGTAGGCTAAGTTGCAATATTAATCTGCCTGACCTCTGCACATTAAGTGTCTTGGCTACAGCATTATTCAGTTAGATTTTTTCTCTAATTTTAGATTTTTCTCCAATTTTAGAACAGTACAAGTGGTGGTGATAATCTAAATTGCTCATCACATTATGTAATTTCTTGGACAATACTGTTAACTAGTACCCAAGTCACAATTTTATTTATTTTATAATAAATAAAGTCACAAAATTAAATATAATGTATTTAAGTTACATCTTTAGTAGATGTTCCTATACCCATTTAGGATGACCAAGAATACAGTTAGCCCTGATATAACTCTTTGAAAGGAACATGGAGATAGTTCTATATAGAACACTTGCCTTGATGCAGTAGTTATTCATGTACAGTACGTGTGAAAAGTTGGAATTAGTACCGTCTGGTTTCAAGAAAAAGCTTAATGCAAAACGATTCAGACAATGTTTACTACAAATACCCCTCTTTGAGAGCAGGGATTCTTTTTAGATTTAACAACATGTTAAATGGAAATAAGCTGGATTAAAGATGTTTTGTTTTAAAACTAGTAATTCCACTGACTATGGAAAATGAAGTATTTTATTATACGTATTTCTGAAAACAGATTGTGTAGTGTTTTACTGAATTTGTTTACAATGTTGAAATATCCTGATTTGTTAACAAGGTCAGTTTCCCCACTGAAAACTACTATTTTGTGCTCAAGTACAAAATACATACTTGTAACATAAACTCATTGAAAAAATATTTTACCAAAACATGTTTATATTTTACTGAAGTTACAAATACTGCCTTTTAAAAATATGGAATTTTATTTCTTTATTGTATATGCTCAAATTAAACCGGAGAACTCGTTTACTACTAAAAGCACATTAATTCTAGTCTGCGTGTAATTACCAGCATGCAGTGCCCCACATAGTAAACGGAATAGTTTTTGTGCTCTGTATGTATGACCAAAACTGGATGTAGCTAACGGCGTTTCCTCTCTGCACTTTATGTTATGGCAGCACTGATGGGGCTATTGTGTAATGGCAGGATATCCAGCTAAACTGCTGAAATGGAGTAATTCACATACTCTTTCAAAACTCACTTCAGAGCACTTGAGGATACCGTAGTCAGAGAAGAATCAACAAGGCAGCAGTTTAAAGAGGGAAATACGTAAATGGTAGTTCTAAATAGTATAGTTTTAACACTGGAAAATATTAAAATGGAAACAGGATAGATCAGTCTTTCAGGGTTGATTCCCCATATTTTGTTTAAAAAAATTTGCATTTACTCCTTAAAACAAAACAGTCCTAATTAGGAATTTTATTCTTACAGGAAGAAATAATGCATGATAAATTTATTTGCAAAACTGAAAAATTATTGGCTCTTTTAAAAGTCACAAGTTGTTGTTTTTTTAAACTAGAAAAAGTATATTTTCAACTTACCACAACAATTTCCTTAATCTATTTATATTCTTAAATGGATGTTAAATTAGAGCAAGAGTATTTGCTTTAGGCTATTCTAAACAAGCAGACTTTTTCCAGAAGTGCATAGCATGGTGTCTCTTCTTTTTTGTTTTGTTTTAATATGTTACAGAGTTGTGAACCATTTGTTTAATTTGTAAAGCTTTCTTGTTATTCTCAAAGTGTAAAAATAAAGTATTGAAACAGAGCTATGTAAATGTGATCTCTTTATTAAGGGTGCGGAAAAGTTCTGTGCATGGAATGGTTACTTTCAAGTGATTCATATCTGGACCAAAATAGTTATATTTGGCGGGGAGGGAGAAAGCAGGAAAAAACAAGGATACCGGTGATGATAGATAAAAGGAGATAGGGGAAGATTGATGGATGGCTTAATACACAGATGATGGGGGGGGGGAGGAAAATTGGGGTAGAATGCATTAGCCTTTCCCTACTCACCCTATAAGACCCCTCCAGAGTTTGTTTTGGTAAAAACAGGAATCATGAATCGTTCTGCTAAAACTCAGTACAGAACCACCAAAACGTTTGGGATTCCACACAAAATAGACGGTAGCAGCATGGCTGATTCTCCTGGGCATAAGAGTAGAGCTTTCAACCCTTCTCTCCCAGAAGCCTCCGGATCTACAGAGTTACCTAACTCAGTCACTTGCCTTGCTGTAGCAGCTTGGCAGTTACTGCTGCCACCATCTGTCTTCCGGGGGGTGCTCCCCCTGGCATTCTTTCCCAACTCATATGAGATAAAGGCCTCCCACAATTTATATTGCCTTTCTGGCAAACTGAAAGGAAAAAAAATGAGTAAAGATGAAATAAATCTGGTGGCACCACATCCTGGCCTCCGCCTTTTGGGATATACACCAATCTCATAAGTGATAAATACAATCAAACTTATTTAAAAAAAAAAAAACCTTCAGATCTCCCAAGGAAAAACATTCAGTGTCGAAGGAGATAGAACTATAGAGATGGGTCAAATCACTAATTGTATCTTAAAAGACTCACATAGAAAAAACAAAGGAAAATACTGTATCTGGGCAAATCAGAAGATGCTTGCCTGCTACTAATTTAAGGGCAGCTCTGCTGTACAGAAGTTCCAAGCTGCATAAAACCCATAATTAGTAAGGTTGTACACAGAAAATACCAGAGACAAAAGATTAGATTTGAGCACACATGTAAAACTAAAAAACCTTAAGCAATATTTTAGCTAAATGTTTTTTCACCTATGCTTTCAAAGATACCCATTTTCTTGAAATAGGTTTTTCCTCCGTCTCAGTCCTGGATTTCCCTTCCATATTGCTGGAGATCAGAGTCAGTGAATTCTGAGGCTGCAAGGGAAAACACAAGCCCTGTTCTTTCTGCTTGGCCTCAGGTCCCTTCTGCCTTTCTCTTGTGTAGGAAAGGAGGTGAAAGAATTTCCCCCGTGTATATACCAGAAAGAATCTCTCTCCTCATCCAGATGCAGTTTCAAAGTCTGAATGCCTGAGCGTAGGTAGCAAGGAGGCGGTACCGTTACATTGAATTATTCACATCCTTGCTCCTTCCTTCCTTAGAGAATGCGTAGGAGAAATACAATACCTGTTAGGAGAAGCAAATAATTCCCAATTACCTTCCAGCCCTATGACTACAGTGACCATACGTCCTTTATGATAAAGGACAGTCCTTTATTTCAGAAAGCTGTCCTTTAGGTTTATTTAATTTAATTATTTATTTTCTCAGTTTTGCTGTTGAATTTTCCTTTGTAAAGCAAAGTTATAAACTTTTTTTGGTATCCTTATGAACCTCTTTCAGATTTGCCCCTTTTTTCAGGCTTGTCCTTTATTTCTTCTAAGAAAATAGGGTCACTGTACCTATAACCTTACAAGGGCTTGTAAAAAATGAACTCTTGTCAGCCCAGCTTTAAAACATTGAGAAAGCCAAGGAATGTTGTTAAAGCTGGGAAGGAGAGCACGGGATCTGGGAAGCAAAGCCAGTATAAAATAAGCCCATACATGTAACTCCTTAGAAAGTAACTGCATTCATAGAATATTTTCTCCTTGTTCTCCCAAACCATTGCCTTTGTAGTTCCACCCCATTATCATAGACTCCATCTCACTATACCCGATATGCTGCTATGTCCAATCAATTACTTTGCTTTGCATAATTCTATACAGGGGGGCTGCATCCCCAACATCTTTTAGCTTTTGCTCCCTCTGGTACCTAATAAATAATTTGTGCTTCAAGAGAATTGTGTACTGGTCCCCATTTCAAATGACCTTTTGGTGAGTTTGTGAAAGAAACTGCTCCTACAAATGTATAATTTTGGGTAACACTGCATGTTTCTCAGCAGAACACAAAGATTTTCCCTGAAAAAAAAATGTAATATTACATTTGAAGAGGGTAGTATTGTTTCAAATACACTGAAGGATATTGCATTGGAGATGAGTGTGTTTTTTGATCTGAGCTGTTTAGATTATTTTATCTTTAGGTCATCTTTCTCTGAGGTTAATATGGTATTTCAAGTAAGGTAGAAATTTAAAAACAATATGATGAGACATGAAATTTAATCTTTTCAGGAACACAATCCAGCCAAAATCAAGTATTTTATTTCTTTGGAAAATTTCTAAACATGTACTCAACACTTAATAACCTGGTAAAGTAACAAGATTTGAACATAGTTTATATCAGGAAAGCTGAATGATTGCAATTGTAAACTTAAATAACATCTTCATCTTTGGTTATTTAATCCTGATTTTGTAAAAAAGCCATCTAAATTCTGTGGTAATAAAAATCAGAGTTCTGCAATGCTTAAAATGGCATCTAATAAAGTTGTATCACTTAAGTCTTCCAGTCATCTTATTGGGTAGAGACAAAACACTCCCACTAGACTAACAGGAATCTTGTCTATGTGTCTTGATATTTAGATATTTCTCAGACATTTCTGACGTAATTAAAACTAAAAAAAGATTCAGTGTAAATGAAAATCTAAGATTCTTCCATTGGTGCTGCTTTACTCACATTTATCTGCTGTTCTCAAAGTATATTAAAATGCTTTTACTGTCTTCTATCTTAGTACTTACACTGCTTTTTGATAATCATTTTTATTGCTAGACCATGATTTAAAGTACATCCAAACTGCTATATGGTGTTAACAAAAGCTCTGTTAAAAGCTTAAGTAACAGTGTATAGATTTATTAGAAGGAAGAAATGCTCATGTATTCCTAGAGAGACAGAAAGTACTTTAGCCAGGAAAGTTGGGGGGTGGAATTTCACTGGGGCCAGACTGACTGTTCTATTAATTCTGCATCTTGTGCCTTGGATGTTGCTATAAAAACCTGCCCAGTTTTTAGAAACACAAACCTCTTGGAGGGACCAAAAGGCTCTTGTAAGTGTCAGCCTATGGGACTGTGCAATAACAGATCCTCATGTCACTGTTTTGTTTACACTGTGTTGGATTTTATTACATTTAATTATTAAGTTTTATCATGGAAAACTACTTTTCTATATACTTGGGGCATCCCAAGAAAATAGTATTCATGTTATAATTCAGCAGTTAGTATTTTATTTAAAGCTTCACTGTTTTATAAGTGCATTTGTTACTATGTTCTTAAGGACTTCCACTGATAATTGGGAATCTTTATTTAAACTTTTTTCTTGCCTTCTCATGTTGGGGACTTGTGATAATGGCAAGTATTAATTTTTATAACAATGTAGGTTCCTACATCAAAACAGAAGTACAATGCAGAATCAGAAATTTCTTATTGTCTGAAGTTAAAATATTAAAGATCAAAGTCTCTGGAATAGGAAGAAGGGATGTCTACAAGTAATGTCCTAGGGTGGTCTTTCAGGCTCCAGTGTCTCAGAGAAACAGAAGCTCCATAATAGTAAACACAGAACATTTGTTAAACCTTCTTTAAAATTCAACAGAAAATTGAAAGTTACCAAAAAGAAAGCTAGGTAGGTAATTGGGGTAGCCTAAGCACTAAATCACCAAAAGAGCTTAGGGGAAATAAATGTGATTTTTTAAATCCCCAACTAAATTGACTAGCAGATAGTCAATCCGCTACAGATGATCAAATGCCCTGTTGTTTATTGGACAATCAGTCTGATTTGCCTTATTAGGCTATTTTTCCCTTGGTCAAAGGATATCCCACTGAGTAAGAAATATCAGAATGTGAAGACTTGCTAACCATTTTCTACAGATGCTTCTTGGGTAAGGACTAAAAGGGAAATAATGTCACAATAAGTCAACGGTTAAGGAACTTTCTTCAGATTTAGAATCTCGCTTGGTGATTGGTTACAGTTCTCCACTAAATATTCCAAGTATTCCAAGTTAGGGAGAAAAAAAGAAGAAAAAAGTAGAGTTACAATTATCTAGTTGCTGCTGCTTCTGATTATTTTATTCAGACTGCTTGAACTGAAGAGAAAGTCCAAAAGGATTATTTGCAAAGGAAATTAAACTAGGAAACAAAAATTGAACACATATTTTTCAAACGTTTTGGTTCCCTCTGGCCAGAACAATTTAATTAGAATTCAAGATCTATGTCTGCATTAACAGAAATCTCATAAGGTTCTGTGTAAGACTCATGGCAGTGAAATAGGAGATGGGGGGGGGATCTTGATTTTGCAGCTGTATATCAAATTTTGGCTTTTATCCATTAAATACGTTTATAAAGGCAGAGGCATTCAAAGTCAATTATATTTTTTTAGATCTTGTAAGATTTGGGTTTATGTGGTGATGCCAGAATAAATTCTTAAATATATTTTCTAAAATAATGTTGCAGCAAAGTTATGTGAGGTACAGGAAAAGCAAGATATTTTAAGTATACTTGTATTTTTTTTTTTTTTACTGATGCATCAAACACTGCATTAAGAGATCTTGTGAACTCTCTTATTTTAGCAAGAAGTCATCCTACTAAACTTATTGACAGGGCAAATACTCTAATCTGACAAATAAAGAGTCCAGGAGTTCCTCTCCTTGAATAAATTGTGGCCAGAGAAAGCTACTGTATTTTAACAAAATCCACAATTTACTAGAACCTATACAATATTCTATCTAATCAAAACTTTCTGATGTGGAATATATTTTAATGAATAGGATCAACTAGGCTAAATATTATTTGAATAGGACTTCCACTGACAATTGGGAATCTTTGTTTAAATACAATATAGTAAAGATTTCTAGATATGAAATACAAAGTGACGGAACAGTCCATATTCTCTATTTAATCATCCATAAATTGCATTGAGAAGCTTCTTCAGGCAACTGCAGATATCAATTACAGCATTTATGCAAAACATCTCCCAAAATATGATGTTACAGAAGGTGTATAACAAACTTAAGTATAGGCCCAATATTTGATAATGATTTGGGAGTACATGAAGCTTAATCAGTAGGACAGATTGCCTATGAGATCCAGCAGGGTGGGCATATTTCAGGTCCTGGTTGGGATTTGGCCTTTGTTAATCTGTATTGTGAAGTTTTTTTATGTTTTGCTTTTATGCTTTTAACAATATGTAAGCTGCCCAGAGTCACTATTTCTGAGTTGGGCACCCATATAAATCATTTAAATAAATAGTTAACTGTGGATGCTTAAGTCTTATTATCTTTTTTTCCTGAGATAGGAGACATGAAGACTTAATGCAGTAGGTCTTCATCTTTTGGACTTCTTGTGTATTTTTTTAGAAATTTAGAAAACCACATTATTTTTCCCCCCTATGTAAAGACTGCAATGGAAGTTATTGATAATTCACATTTAGTGTACAGGCAGAATATAAATATATTTTTCATAAGCTAAAGGAAAACAGCAATTTAAAAAAAAAAATTAACAGCTTGGTCACCTAAAAGGTAAATATTGGATCCAGTATGGAAAGAATCCCCTAGCTACCCTAGTAAGCTGCATCCCACCACCTTAAAAAGACTGCAGCAAGTTCAAATGGATCCCAAAGTTAGTATTACTTCAGCCTGAGCACTGTCATAACAGCACCTTAGTGCTGTGTTGAATACATTTAAATATAATTGCTGACATCCAAGAATTTCCTTTCAAGAAAGATAGCCTACCTGGCTTCAAAGATTATTCAGTTCAACATTATTTTGTCAGTTGTTACATATCTGTTTATACTCCTAAAGGGAATTCTTTTATAAACTGTTGTTTTGGTGTGATACCTCTTGTTCTGTTTTTGTAGTCTAAACTGGAGTTCCAATTATTGTTTGCTACCGTTCTTTCACCAAGAATACAATCCAAGTAACATGAGAACGTTGCTGAGCAGACAGGGTAGATAAGCAGGATGATACAATGGCAGGAACAGATTGAGGCTTTTTAATGTGATAGCTCCATTCTATACTGAAAAGCAGCAAAAATGTACTGCTTTACATTTCTTCATAATTATGGCTGATTTTCCTTATTCCTTTCACACCTTCCAAATTTACAGTATAGTAGCAAAGATGCTGGGGCAAATGAGGAGCAAAAATAATTCTTAACATTCGCAGCTCACTTCTACTATACGAGGTCTCTCCAGCAATCTGTGCTTGGTGTACAGTGCGACACACCATCAATCTCATCAACAGCTGATTAGACCAAGTTATTCCAAGTGCTGGAATAACAGTCCTGGCTGGGCAGCTGAAACACAAAGCTTGCAATTACAAAACTATCTACACAATTAATTAACTAGAGTTTGAGCTGGGAAGAGTAAGCTTGTTTTTTTTCAGACTGGTTTCCTGGGCTAGGCTTGCAGAAACCCTGAAGCAATTTTTACCAAACTGCATTTGCAATAAAGGAAATCTTATTAAATACACAGAAAATAAATATTACTCATATTTAACTATTGCATTTAAATTCAACTGTTAAATACAGTATATATTTTTGTTGTTTCAGAAGTGCAGCCCCCAGCCCAAAATTTACACAATCCTGGGGCAGATGAATTAATGGTATGATTTGATCTAAGGCACTTTAGTTGAATTCTTAAAAGACTAGTACCCCAGTCCAATGTCACATTTATACATCGTTCCCTCTTAGCAAATGTTATAACATCCTATTAGACACTTCAGAATCACATTATTAAGGTAGAATGTGTTCCATTGCACGTTAATCAGTAAACACATCCTTACCTCATTCCAGCTCAAAACATATTATTCTAGGTAGAATTAGAAGAACCCAATATCAGCACACACACACTATCACACACATACAGCAAGTATGAGAACGGGCGCTCACCGCTTCCATCACAGAATAAAGAATTAATTCTCTTGCTCTTGACACCACTGTTCATTTGATGCAATCTAGGTTTGTATTGGCAGTTATCTCACATTCAGCTTTTGATCCACCAAGGCACCCAGATTCTTTTGCATCTGCATAGCTGTCCAGTACAGTGCAGTCTGCCCCCATCCAATAGCCATGTATTTGATTTTTATTGCCCAAATAAAAGTCTGCCCGATTAAAATTTATCTTGCCCATTGTCTCCCTCTGTATTCACCTAATAGTAGCACATGTCACTCCACAGTTTGCCACTTTCTCTATTAGGATTTCATGGGAGATTCTGTCAAATACTTTTTCAAGTACCCTGTATCCCTGGCCAACTCACTCTATTAAAAAAGGAGATTGGTTTGGTCTGGCATGACTTGTTATTATTAACAATCCCAGGCTGCCTCACAGACCTGACTGTTTAATAATCTGTTCCAGAGTTTTGCCCAGGATGAAAGTCAAGATGTCTGGTCTGTAGTTGCCTAGTTCCTGCTTGTTCCTTTTTTTTGAAAATAGTAACATTTGCACTTCTGTAATGTTCCAGCACTAGACCTGTTCTCCATTTCTCAAAAATCATAGAAAGGGAGCTTCAGAATGACACTCACAAGTAAAACACTTGGAAATACTTGGTTAGGTCCTAGGGATGTATATTCATACATGGTTGGCGCATGCTTTCTATCTCTTCACTTAATTTGGGTTAGTACCCATTCTTAAGTCAATTGTTCTGCTTATGTCTCTCCTTTGCGGAGAGGCCAAAAGCAAAGCAGGAGTTCCAGAGCTTGGCTGTCTCCCTGTTACCTGTTACAATCCTACCATTTTCTCCAAGCAGCAGGCCCACCCAATAACCTTTCCTTCCATTTGCTACTATCATAGACAAGTCTTTTGTTGCTCTTAGCTTCCTCTGCAAGCTCACGTTCCTTTTCCGCTTTAACCTTTCTGGCTGACTTTCTGCAGATATTAAATTACTCGCTGGTATGCTTCTCTGCTGATTAATCTTTCCTGTACGTGATTCATTTTATTCTTAGTGCAGACAAAAGCTTCTTATACATCCACAATGGTTCATAATGCACCCATTTTTTCTTCGCATTGGAATTACATGCTCTTGTACTTCCAATATATTTATGAAGCTTTCAGTACTCCTGCACTCTTTGACCGGAGGATTCCCATCCATGCAATCCCACCTATTTCTCTAAACTTGTTAGAATTAGCTCTCATGAAATATAGTATGCATGTATAACGATGCTCCAATGTCCTTTTCTGTAGTATCTTGAAACAGAAGATGGCATGGTTACTTCTCCCAGTGCTCCTACTGTTTTACTTCTTCAACCAGCACTTCCCTATTGGTCAAGATAAAATCAAGGAAAGCCAATCCCCTCATCTCTTCTTTAATCTTTTGGAAAATGAAACAGCAAGAACACAGAGGAATTTTTGAGACCTTGTAGTCTTGGCTGAGCTGATTTTCCAACCAGTATCCTGGAAGTTGAAGCCCCCCTTTATTATCATGTCTCTTCTCTCTGAAAGCATCACAAGGCAGTCCAGCAGGGAATTATCCAGATCTTCTGCCTGGCTTAGTAATCTACAGTGCACCTTCCCCTGCTCCAATAATAATATCCTACTTGTTTCTCCTTCTTTATGTTCTTACCCAAATGTTCTTAATGGACTCTCATGTTAAAATGCCTGGATCTGTACATGTGTGCTCTTCCTTCACATATAATGCCATTTCTCCTCCCCTTTTATCAGGCTGTCCTTTTGATTAAAGTGTATCCATCAATCCTTCCATTCTACTTAATGAGTTCTGTCTCACCAGGTTTCACAATGCCTTGCCTTTTTGAAGGAAATCTGTCAAATATTCTGGGCACAGGTTATTTAAGGTCAGAAGCAAAACTCTGAACCTGGGTTGGTAGTTAATTGGCAGGCAGTGCAGTTATTGCAGCAGACGAGTACCGAGTATATGGCCAGATGCCCTGGTCAGTTATTTTGCCGCTACATTCTATACGTGCATTGTCCAGGCTAGGCTGGTGTAAATAAAGGTCCTCTTATGTGCAGTAAACACAGAGCTGGCAGTGTTTGGGCTGCAGGCTGCTTGGAGAAGGAGGATTAACCACACAGCTCTTTTCACTTTTTTTTAATAATAGGAGAATGGTTGATGTATGCGTGTGTTTAGATCTCTCTCTCTCTCTCTCACTGTATGTGTGTGCGCGTGTGCATATATGCCAAATTTCCTTTTCCACTCACCTTTGAGCGTCCCAAACAACGTCTTCCCTCTCATCCACTGCATCAGTTACCTAGATTACAAAAAAAGAAATCAAGAAAAAAATGTACATGGTATGCTTTATCAGAATGTAGCAATAGGAAAGAAATAATTTCATTTCAAGTAAAGTACTTTGGGTAGACCATATACTTTTGTCATTATCATCAAATGAAGACATAGACTTTATCTTCTAATTACATTTAAAAGTAAAATGGTCAGCATATATTGAGGAAGGGAGAGCACAGTACAGCAAGTTACCCACAGAAGGATATAATTTCATGCAAGACAGCAGTTCTTTCCCCACAGCCTGATGCTTCTTTTGGTAGCAAAGATAAGGTCCTCTTCCCTTACCTTCCCAGCAAAATAGAAGCTTTTGCTAAAAGCAAGTGGGTAGTTACCATGAAAGCTCTGTAGTACTCTCTAGCGCCTTATGACAACGACACTTATGAAAAAGATAAAAGAAAGCCCAGCCACAATTTAATTCAATTTTTTGTACTCTCTTCCCCCAAATAATCATATAAGCATTAACTCCAGATATGAAAGAATAAGAGAGTATCTGTCAGCAGATCATGCATATATAGCCATGGCCCTTACTCAAAGAGAATATTGTGTTTGGTTGAGCCAAGAATTCTACTAAAATTACAATACAGAGGCAAGCATGAGGACTGTTCAACTACCTTATCTGGCTTTAATGTAGGCCTATCAGATCTGGGGTGCAAAAGTCTGAGCAACTAAATTCTCTTTGCTATCATCTAATTGTTGTATTGATTTGATATTGTAGCTCTACCTTAATGCCTACTCTAAGTGATGTGCAAACCTGACAGTTTACAAGTATCCAAATAACACACAAGGAAATCACTATGTTGGCTATCAGCCCATAAAGGATGAAGTTCCAACTGGAGATTCCAGTTGCTTCCATTCTAGGCATGATCTGATGCTATACTATGATGGTGATATAACTTGATGCTATACTATGAAGTGGTATGCATTGCCACTCCTGATGCATACTAGAGGGAGAGTTAATTAGCCAACCCTAATTCTGTGATCCACGGGAACAACAGCTTTTACCTGCAAACATTCCATTCTCCACTATGACTTTCATTTCAGTGTTTAAATCAAGGTCCATTCAAATGTTAAAAACCAGTTAGATGCACATAGCCCTCCTGCTATCTTACCTGATTAATGCATATTATGGGAGTCTGGAACCTGCAGCTTAATCTGTGAAGTTTTGCCCCAAATCCCTGTAAATATTTGGCTTTCAGGAGAGAATCCATAGCGCTGAATTCACATCTGAATAAGGCAGCAATAGAGTCAATAATGACTAGCCGCACCATACCTCTGGAGAGCAGTAAGCTAAGTCTCTTAGTAATGCAATCATGGAAAGTGTCCTGTAATAAGAAGGAAATTTGAAAATACACCAGGGTGTCTGTCAAGAGCAACACAGTTGTGAAAAATATGTGCTCCACTGGATCCACAGTAATTTCTGCAATAGCTAGAGTAATCCTGATTTGCATTTGTTTGCAATGCCAGCAGAACAGTGCATTGTATACCAATCAAGCAGAACCTTACTGACTCAGGAAGCTGAGTGAGAATTTAACTGCAATGTAAAAACTTGCCTTTTTAGAAAGGTTTTTAAACTGATGTTTTATGTATTTATATATATTTATGTTTTTGATGTTCGGTGTGAGTCACCCAG